TATATATATATATATATAGAGTTAGGATCATGTGAGAATGGTTCTTAGGGAAAGAAATGAGAATAAATTTGGACCATTGGATCCAACACATCAATGATTATCATCCAGTCAAACTATGGTCAGTCATTAATGACAATCTGGTAAATAATTAATTATAGTGTATATTTGACCAATAATTAAAGGTAAGAGAGTCATTATATAAGTGGGACCTACTAAACAAATCAATTCACCACCAATTTTCTCTCTCCTCAACCTATCTCTCCTCACCCCTCACGATCTGAACACGCACTACACACACTCACTCTCTCTCTCACACACAAATACACACACAGTGTTCCGGCGCTGACCACCAGTCCGCCACGTCGCCGCCGCCTACCACCTCAGTCATCCGTTTCCACCCACCTTCCGGCCACTGGAGCTTCGCCGTGCAGCCGCCCTCCGTCTGTACCTGCCCACCACCCGACGTCTGCAACCAGTCGCCGCCGACGCCACCAGTCGCGTTGCAACCGACAAGAACCAAGCCGTCGCCGGTCAGCCACAACAAACAGTTGGACGCCGGATTCGAGATACACCGGTCAAATTACAGACGCCGGCCGCGGTGGCTCTCGCCCGTCGCCACTGAGACGTCGCCTCCACAGCCCGCCACTCCCATCGCCAGTGAGAATGAAATAAAAAAAAATATGAATTTTGAACAACGAGGAGATCCACCGGAGATGGGGGAGATGGCAGGCGAAGGCGTGGCGTTAGCGGCGTAGATTGGCAGCGGACGGCTGGGTCGCTGGCGGCAGGTGATGAACAGTGCGTCGGTGTGTGTGTGAAATAGTTGAAATTATACTATTTTTTGGAACAGTGAGATGAACAGTGCGTGTGTGTGTGAGAAACAATGCGTGTGTGTGTGAAATAGTTGGAATTATACATTTTTTTTTTTTTTGGCAAATGGGCTTATATTTTGGAAATATACAAAAATAAGGACTTTGTTGCAATTTAGTTGATGCAATCAGTTTT